GGGAAGGGGAAGAGCGAAGAAAAAAAATAAACAACTCAAAAATTTCCTAAAAAGGAAATTTTCAAGCGCAGAAGGGGGAATGGGAAAAAGTTTTTTTTTAAGTTTTTATTTTTAAGTAAACTTATTTTTTATATTTTTAAATATATTGATATAAGTTTTTATTTTATTTTATCAATTAATTATTGAAATATAAAAATTAAAATTAATGTATTGAATAATTATTTTTGATACATACTATATATAATTAAAATAGTTATAATAAATATTAAATTTAAACTTTTTATTAAATATATAATAAGTTAAAAAATTTTTTCCTTTATAATTTTTATATTATATTATTTAAATTTAAATATAATATAATTTAATTTAAATTTATGTCAGAGAATATCTTAAATAAATTATTTTTTGTATAATTAGATTAAAAATTCTTTAATATAAAAAAAATTTTTTAAATGACTTAACGTTAATAGTATTTGCGTATAACAAAAGAAAACATTTTTCATTAAAAATTGAACGTATTTATAAATAAATTTACCAAAAACAATGTTGTCATACAATCACAAAGATTAGGTCATTCATCTTTTTATAGGTTTTTATATGTTATCTTTGGTAAATACTTTTATAATTGTTATTTTACTTTCAATATTTAATACAAATATGAAATCGGATATGTATGAAAGGCAAGTAGATCACTTACCTACACGCTCTTTTGAGATAATGATGTAGGACAATCTTTGATTCGTCCAACGGCTTGTGTTTAGGCTAGCTGTGTGACGCGGCTTCTTGTTAATTGGTTAATTTAACCGATACATTTGATTTATCGTGGAACACCTGTTTCTAATGTAACGAAAGACAATCCGTAAGATTTAAAGTCGAAAAGTATCACAGATATTTATTACTAAGGCAAGTAAAGTGGGTTATCACTGCAATGGATGATCATTTTTCATAAAGTTAACGCAGAATAAGTTTGCATTATTACCGATGATATAAATATTCTTGATATGATCATCAAATCAGTTTAAACCATGAGCATGCTTGAAAAATATACATGATAAGTATAATCACAGAGTAATAAATAATGATCCATCATTTCAAGTTCAGGTGATGACACACTTTCTAACAATGAACTGAAAAAATCAGATGAACTATGATATGTAATAATGAAAATGTGATTCTAAAAAAAAAAAAGTTATACCAAAGTATATATATTGGGTATCCATTTAACATATGCAAGACCCATAATAAAAAAATTTAATAGAAGGAGGGGATAGAAATTAGATTACGTTTGTATTACAGGATGGTAACGAACTATGCAAATGGTATGAAATTGGGTAAAAATTACCGCGTGTATACATGAAAAGAATGAAATGTAAATACAAGAGGCGGTGTTTTTTGAAGATAAACAATCAGCCGTATGACAAAATCAAAGGATAAATTATGGGGAATAGGGAAGGGAGGTGTGACCCAAATCTTCTAAATGAACGCAAAAGGAAGGAAAATTCTATTTGATATTACAATAAATAAAATATTAATAAATTAATTAGAAATGGTATGCGCAAATTATAAACCAAAAGTTCCTCGATGCAAATAGCGGTATTAAATTCCGCAATCCCTAAAAGTCTAAATATTCACAATATTACATGGAAATGCATGAAAATCTACATATGTGAATGTTCAGTTGACATAGAAAACGGTATGTGCCCGGATAGATCTATCATCGCTGCTTCGTATGGCGGAGATGGATAATATTTTTGTTGTATTGGAAATGATCCGCAAAAAGTACCCATCTCATGAGCTATCGGAAGAAGAAATCCTGATTAATAGCATGCCCAGAAATACGATCACGCACGTCTCATAATAAGTTTACCATTCAATGAATCGTCGAAATTCAAGTTTAGCGAGTTTGCATCTACCAAGTGGTCCATCGATGTCATATCCATTGGGAAGTCAAAATCTGATGGAGGATAACCGGTGTGATGATTCATACTGGTGTCTAGGTATACCAAACCTAGGCACATAAAAAAAAAATGTTTATGACAAATATAATAAAATGTTTGGAGAATTGCCCAAAAAAATAAATTAAAAATAACAAACAGAATATAAAGATTATTTTTCCTAATACGTGTATTTATTATATTGAATATACGTACCGTCATATAAACATGGTTGATTTTCAATGTGTTGCTTTGTTTGGTCTGCCTCGACATTCTTACCATCTATCGTCGTCTCTGAAGGGTCTTGTTCGTAGTCATCATCAGTATTCCCGTTGCTATAATCATCGTCAGACCGTGAATCTTCAGGCTTGATTTGAAAATCAGTGGAACTTTTAGGTTCATGCGCAGTAGTGGTGGTGGGAATATCAGCTTCGGCCTTTATCTCCGGTGTGTTTTTATTAGCATCCTCCTTCGCGTCATCAGTTTGAGAAGTAGTTGGTTTGGGTTCTTCTCGTGGTGGTAAAGGATCTAAACCTAATTCTTCTCGTAATTTGTTAATTTCTTCACGTAATGATTCATTTTCACTGCGAATGCTTCGCATCTCTTTATCGTGCAATTCATCTTTCTGGCGAGCTGTATAAATGAAATCGAGTGATTTTTGGACAATAATCGATTTGGACGGACGTCGGACTTGTGCTAAAGAAGGAAGAGCGTGGGCAAGCTCTTGGAATTTAGTATTTAAGCATTCCCGTCGAGCCCGTTCGACAGCATTGTGGTTTGCACGCCTTTCTGCAGAGTTTGTATTTCTATATGTTCATCCAAAAAGGTGATCATGTTAGAATAGATGCATTCGTTGCGTACATATGCACAGTAAAAGTAAATCTAAAAAAGTTTTGTAAAACCTAGCAGCAAGTGCTTGTTGGTAATCATGACAAAGATTTTAAATGCGCGACACCTTCATATAAAGGACTTTGACCCAAATAAAAATAAAAATTCTAAAAAACTTACTTTTTTGATGCATTTGCGACTGTCAAATTTTATAAAGTAGGAAACAAAAGATAGAGTTAGAAGGGTTAGGTTCATATGTGATGACCGCAGAAGCGCAGCGCAGCTTGATGCAAAAATCAAAATTTTGTAGTCACAAGAAAGGCGTGTCAATTTTAAAAATTTTTTTTTTCACTTACTCGAAGGAAGTTGAAATGTAAAGTTTGCACAACCGTTCGGATGCGAAGGCATTCGGCTGGTTACGGCGTGTAAGGAAGGTGTAGATGTGAAGCTGATAATGGTTCCACCGTTGGTCCCCATGATTGGCTGATTGTTTATCGCTTCAAAAATACATGCAATGAGGGATGAGGATTAGGACGCCGAATGCCTAGAAGGAAGGTTGTCGAGTGTGGTCGCTCAGTGGGACACAACCAAAGTAAATTAAACAATAGTAGAGATAATAGAATGCCAAAGGAAAGTTTAAAATAAAAATGACCCTCTTTATAAGTATCAACGATTGACTCAGTGTAACTAGGGGGTACTTTATTGGTGCGATTGATCTAACCTTGTTTTTCGATTTATTTCTTTATTGCTTAAGAAAAAGGATAAAGCTGTTACCTCAAAACCATTACCTTTAAGTTATAATCTACCGAAAACCACTGGAAAAGAAAGGCAGCAATAGTATCAGTGTTTTTTTTTAAAAAAATTAGTTTCGTCAACTTTTTGAAATTTAATATATAAATTTTTCATATCGTTAACAAAATTGGTTCTTTACAATAGGATCGCCATATCCGGAGAATAATTAGATATGCGGAGAATAATTACTATCGCACTAAAAAATTGTGTTCACAAATACAAATTTCAAATATTACAAATTTTTACATAATATTAGTAATTTTTAAAAAAAATTCTTTGTTTCCCAATATATCATATTTTTTAAACATTAATATTTAATATATATTTAAAACTTTAATAAAAAAATTTTTTTTTATTTATTATCAAAAAATTTCAAATTTTAAAAAATATAATACGTATATAGAAAAAAAAAATTTTTTTTAAATATACAGTATATAGCATATGACAAAAAAACTTGGTTTATTTATTTATTTATTATTATAATTTAATAAATAATAATTCAATTAATATAAAATTTCAAATATATCTTTTTAAAAATTTAAATAATATAATATTAAAGTTTTATTAATGCTTAATTAATAAATTTATTTGAAAATATTGATTTAATGTTAAAAAAAATTTTTTTTTTATTTTTCCAAGTAGATAAACATCATCACTTTATTAATCATAAAATTATTTAAAATTTATACATGGAGAAAATGATAATATCTCTTATATAACTTGCTAAGCTAATAAATCTAATGCTAGCTTGCCTACAGAAACTATCTAAGTGACATGGAAAATAAATATTAAAACCAATATACATCTAAAATAGTATTGAGCAGCTATAAATACCTACTCAGGATTATATGAGATAAAATTTAAGAAAATATAAAAGTGAAAAAAGAAAATGCTAAATAAAAGAAAAATGACAAAAAAACTAATTATAATACAAATAAAGCCTAATGTCGCACTGGTAGTTTCACCTCCTGAAATACTGTTGCACTTTCTGAAATGGCCAGGCTACAACTCATAGTATATAACAATGTTAATGACACGTCCTCTTGATAGCCGTTTCTTGAGTCATTGTTGATAATAGTGGTGATATAGTTGTTTGTATTTAGATATTTGGTAATAATTGAAAAAAAGGTGAAAAAAAAACTGATTATTATATAAAGGATGCTTTGGATTAGACATGCCACGCTGGTTGATCTATTTAACTGAAGTAAGGTGCTACTTACAGAAATGGCCAGGCTATTGTCCAAAGTAAATAATAGTATTGTTGACATGTTATTTAGATCATATGTTGTGATCAAAATCCGTTTGATCCGTATCCAAGTGATAGTTTTTAGAAGGAATTAGAGATTATATAGAACAGTCCGTCGTTCCAGAGATAATCTCTCACAAATATTCC